TCTCAATGTTGCTTAAGTGTATCCATACAGCACAGCAAATGTTTATTAACAATATTTACATACAACTGTATACCTGTTAAAATTTCAAAGCAAGAAGTTAACCGTTTGGCATTTTTTTTACTGAATTCTACCACTTTAACTTGCACTTTGTGACAAACCAACTATTCTAATCTTAATCTAATATTTTTGATAATTTTAAGAAGGGGATACAAGCGAGTACTAAATAGTAAGTGGAAGCTGTGGAATTCAGAGACAAACACGAGTTTAAACTCAAATTCCCACAACGTCAAAATTGAGTCAAGACCATGTCTCACAAATTTTAACATTGCGAAATCCCGAAATTAAAAATTGAAATGTTATCCTACTCCGATAGAACGCTCGCTTGATTACCTGTAACTAACCCGATGGTCAAAACAATAATTAAAAAAATTCCAACTGCGTGAAAAGATAAGTGAAAAGAGAAAAAATTTACACCCTCTATGACGAATCTAACGACACCCGTATGTTAAAATACATAAAAGACCATCCATCACGTTCTGTAGCCTAATGGCTATAGACTACCACAGCTTGCCAAAGAAATAGACTTACAAATACTTTCCTTTTGAACCAGTCGTGTAATATAAAGGGTCTCCAATTCTCTAAAGACACTAAACGAACTACTGCAGCAATATGATGCTATTTTACGCTGGTATTATGTGACGCGTGGTCTTTTCCTGATCAAACTGATCCATTCGTAATGCAGACATAATGCAACTGCAGCACAGTCCTATCGTATAAAGTTTATGTTTAATGGACGATATTAAGAGAAAATTAATTGCTATAGTCAGTGAATATTACATTATCGTATTATTTGTAAACCACGCGTAAACTACCCAATCATTATCAGACTTGAAAAATGTTCATCACCACAGATTTATTATCTTTTTTTTTTAAAGTATTTACTCATTCTTTATTGAACACCGAAATACAGAATACGAATAGAAGTTAAATTTCAAGTGTATCGAGGTCTTGTCAAGCTGAAATTTGTATGCCCATGAGGCTGATCACAGAATGAACTTTAACTGTATTTAAATAAGACCTTTTTGTAACCTGTAAATCACAAATAAACTATTTCATTTGATTTGAAAGAAATCTCTCATAGAGGACTTTGCGTAGAGGACTGTCGAAAACAAAGATGAATTAAAGACGGTGTACGCAAAAAAGGATAATTAGAGGTATATAGAAAGATATAGGTAAATTTATTAGTATATTTACATATTCACGAACTTACATAGACTTTTGTAACTCGCGTCGTACTTTATCCCACTTTACTTTCCAATCTCTAAATTCAGGAATATCGTGCATTGGTATATTTTCACAATGAAATAAAAACACAACAAATAAAATCACTAGAAAAACTCTAATTGTGAAAAATATATTCGTCAAAATCAAAGACGCACGAAAGCCCTTCTTAAGTGAGCCCTTACTCGTTACTAGATTCACGCAGATGTATAGGAACGCAAATGCCGACATGTTTATGTTTACATTTCACCGGAATGATAATAATTCAACACCCATTACCTCATTACACTTATGAAACACGCGGAATCGATGATGTTTAGAAAAATAACAGATAATACCGCATTTACTTTGCTTATACACAATGACGTCTAACTCTCAAACGACATTTTTTTAAAAATCAATAGGCCAGTCACATCAAAATTTAAAAGAAAGGAGGATGTTACAAACCTTATCAAGCGATTTTTTTTTTATTAAATAGGTTTATTGTTCACGGGTCTCATATAAATTTGGAGAAAATCTCCAACCCGAAGTGTAGCAAAATAGGATATGAAATTTTTAATGGAACCATTAACTATTTTCATGTAAGAAAAGCTCTGGTAGGTTTTCACGACACTGTTCTTTGAACGATCTCATCCGAAGGGCTCTTGTCTCTATAGCGTTCTCTCATTGAATAAATCACAAGGAAGAATGAAGAAGAAGAAAATATTCATTTAGAGACGATGGCAGGAGACCCGACGGTATGACATTGGTCCCTTGGGAGAGACGTAAAGTCCTAGTGTGGGATGCTACTTGCGTAGACACTCTGGCGGCCTCTCATCTCAGGGGTACCTCGTTTAGAGCCGGGGCGGCATCAGAGGCAGCTGAACTGAGTAAGTGGCGCAAATATGAGTCTCTAAGAGATGCATACATATTTCTGTCATTTGATGTAGAGACTATCGGTTCATGGGCTCCACGTACGGTCGTTGCTGCTGGTGATAAGAGGGCTGGTTCTTTTCTCGCTCAAAGGCTAAGTATAGCCATTCAGCAGGGAAACGCAGCCGGCGTTCTTGGGACAATACCGCGGGAAGTAGGACTATATGATAATTAAGTTTTTAGTTTTATTTTATTTTTTAAATTATTATTATAGTTTTTAATATTGTATATTATGTTACATAAATTAAAAAAAAATGACATTGAGGTTGTGATATTACTTAGTCCGCTCAAGAGGGTAAGTAAATTAACTTTTAATATAAAGTAAAAAGCTACCTTCAAAAAACTTCTGCTTCGCATTCTGAAATCATCTAATTCATCTACACTATGGTGTTTTTGCATCAACTTCATAAAATTATTTTACTGTTTTTAGTTCTTCGAAATCGGCTTTTTTTTTTAAAGTTTATTATTTGATTGCTTTTTACTTTTACGTCGTATATATTACAAGTACGTATTTGTGGATCCAAGTGGACAGAGCTGATGTAAAAATATTATTTAAATAAAAATTTCAAGTGGAATAAATTTGGTAAATACTTTTATTTTTATTTTTCTTTAAACGTGTTATCCTTAGAAATGTTATCTTTGACAATATATGGCGTTAATTTTCCTGGACACCTAGGCGTAAGTTTTAGAGCCGCCTCTGAAATACAAATTACAAAGATATGGAAGATGCGTAGAGATGTTGCATCTTTTTGCGTATTTTATCGCATGTACCACGAGGAGTGTTCTGAGGAATCGTTCGGACTAATTCCAGCCGCTTCACCATCGCACATCGCGACAAAACTCGCAATACCATCCATACCATCTGAATGATTGGCGGTCCACCACTGTGATGTTTTCTTCCTCGCACAACTTCCCTGTGGAATCGATTACCACCAGCGATTTTTCGGGACCGATACGACATAGGAACCTTCAAGAAAAGAGCCTACTACTTTTTAAAAGGCTGGGAACGCATCTGCAACTCTCCTGGTGTTGCAGTTGTTCATGGGCGGCGATAGTCACTTACCATCAGGTAAGCCGCATGCTCGTTTGCCCCCTCTCCTATAAAGAAAAAAAAGCATGAAAATAGTAGGCTTAGTGATCGAAGCTGTCAAATTCAACTGTTGAAGGCAACTGTTTCCAAGAATGAACATTTGGCATGAGGATTGGTGACCGCAGGTCTCAACTCTTTCTTCAAAAAAGGTAAGGTAATACTGGTGATTGACGCGAATGAGGTCGTGAATCGTCAGACGATTGAGAGATTGCAGAAATGGCATCTAAAAACACTAAAAATCAAAACTCCAAATTCCCATGACAATGCAGGGGATATCAAATGATTTCATAGTAAAGAATTTATATGAAACCATACCTTCTTAACATTCTCCTAGCCTCAGGATGAGCTTGCTCTGTTGCACAGATTAACCATTCCAATGCTTGTTTAAAGTTGGATATTTTGTCAGCTTCGAGTTCTGTAAATAATGGAATTTTCAATTATAAAATTATTTAATATTTACTGATTCAGTGCCATAAGTATGACTTGGTTTCGTGGTTGGAGTACAAGAGAGCATTGCATTAAAGAGAAATTGCAGAAAATCTGAATCATTTTTAAATTTTTAAATTTCTATTTAGTTTGCTTGCGGCAGCAGCGTGCGGTGTTCTGTGTCACCACAAAGCGAGTGAGTAGCGGCACGTGCAAGCGACGGATGCGTATAATTTTTAGAAATACCGGAGAAATCATTGCACCCTGGGAGGTCGGGAGATTAACCATTATTACCGGAGTCTCCCGGGCAATCCGGCCCGGGAGACTCCGGTAAGGGAGGGTTGGGAACCCTATCTGTAGGGGATTAAAGAGATCCAGTATAATTACAGACTGAGCCATTCCACCTTAGTTCTCAGATGTGACAGTGCATCTGTAACCTTACAACGCTAAATTATTATTATTTATTAGACAGTTCGAATTGGATTTGTGTACTTGGCTTGTCTTACGATAAATTGAACATGTCTGAACCTGTCGTAACATGAATTCTTGTTAGATAGATTGGTAGAATAATTTATACAAAATACAGAGGTTAAATATAATTTCTATTTATGTTTTGCAATTATTAAAAAATCGTTACAAAGAGATTTTTACAAAAGTTATTCGTAACTAGCTGTTCCTTGCAACTTCGCTCGCGTGTTAGGGTTTTTATGTTTTTGCGCGGAACCCTAATTATTTTTCTAAAATTAAAGTAGCCTAAGTTATTCCTTATGAAATCAGCTACCTGCCAGTGAAAGTCCCGTCAAAATCGGTCCAGCCGTTTCGGAGATTAGCCGGAACAAACAGACAGACAAAAATTTTAAAAATTGTGTTTTTTGTAGTACCGTATATACTTTCATATGCAATTAGTAAAAAGCTGTAATTTTGACATTGCAAACAGACACTTCAATTTTATTTATTTGTATAGATGTAAAGGTATATTTTATACTAGCTGTTCCCCGCGACTTCGTTCGCGTGTTAGGGTTTTTATGTTTCTGCGCGGAACCCTGATTTTTTTTTTAAAATAAAAGTAGCCTAAGTTACTCCTTATGAAATCAGCTATCTGCCAGTGAAAGTCCCGTCAAAATCGGTCCAGCCGTTTCGGAGATTACCCGGAACAAACAGACAGACAGACAGACAAAAATTTTAAAATTTGTATTTTAGTTATAGGTATCGTATTTACTTTCATATGAATTTAGTAAAAAAACTGTAATTTTGACATTACAAACAGACACTTCAATTTTATTTATTTTTTGTATAGATGTATAGATTATAACTCTTACAGCCAGTTCTAGGGGATTTCTAAGAATTTGTTAAATTGAGGAAATCGTTATTTTGAGGTTTATTACACTAAGGTTGTACTGTATTATACACTTAGCACTATATGGAACCCTGCCCAGTAAATTGGTTTAATTACTATTAAGTAAGTAATAAAATCAGTCTAATGTGCAAGGTTTGATATAGTGTTGGAAGCTGGTGTTGTAATGAACATCAATCAAGAAATCATCATCATCAAACTAAAGATCACCTTTATCCTCAATCACATTGGGTCTACTGTTCTATCATTCGTGATCTAGCAAGCTGTAAATCCGTAGGTCACAAGTTAATATTTTGTCTCAAAGGACCAAAACGGTAGTAATTCTGGAGTTGCAGATTATGTTATTAAAAATGTTGTCAAATCGACACATTGTAGGGAATTCTAAGAGCATATTATTATACAGAAATATATAAAAATTTATGTTTATTTGTTCGTATTTTATACGCTGCTATGCCATTCACCAGATTGAGGCAAAACTTTGTCAACTTATTGCTTGCACTTGTGCAAAGGTTATCATCATGATCATTACAGCCTTTCATAAGTCCACTGCTGAACATAGGCCTCCCCCAAGGAATGCCACAAAGCACGGTCCTGAGCCACCTGCATCCATCGACCTCCTGCATGTCTTACCAGGTCGTCACTCCATCTCGTGGGGGGTCGCCCTACACTTCGCCTACCGGTACGAGGCTGCCACTCGAGAACCTTTCTTCCCCATCGGTTGTCGGTTCTTCGAGCTATATGACCGGCCCACTGCCACTTCAGCTTACTAATCCGTTGGGCTATGTCGGTTACTCTGGTTCTACTGCGGGTATACTCATTTCTAAGTTTATCACGCAGAGAAACTCCGAGCATAGCCCTCTCCATAGCTCGCTGAGCGACCTTGAGCTTCCTCATCCGGCCAGCAGTGAAGGACCACGCCTCAGTTCCGTATGTCATCACTGGCAACACGCACTGGGTGTACAGTCTTGTTTTCAAGTTTTGAGGTATGTCTGACGAGAAGATGTGTCGTAGCTTCCCGAACGCTGCCCAGCCGAGTTGAATCCGTCGACTGACTTCTCGGTCGAAGTTGGACTTACCTAGTCGGACTATTTGTCCCAGGTAAACATACTCGTCAACAACTTCGAGCTTAGTGCTCCCAACAACTACCGGCATAGGTGTGACATGGTCATTAAACATAATATTTGTTTTGTCCATGTTTATCTTCAGACCTATCCGTTGGGAGACACTATTGAGGTCATTGAGCATAGTGCTTAGGTCCTCCAGCGATTCTGCCATAAGGACTATATCGTCGGCAAATCGAAGGTGAGTGATGTACTCGCCATTGTTATGTTAATACCGTATCCTTTCCAGTCCAGAAGTTTGAAAACGTCTTCCAATGCAGCGGTGAAGAGTTTCGGGGATATAACATCACCCTGTCTTACACCTCACTGCAATTGGATAGGTTTCGTACTCTGGTTCTGTACTCGAATAGCCATCGTAGCTCTACTGTACAAACACTTCAGCACTTCGATATACCGACAGTCAACTTGGCACCGCTGAAGGGACTGCAGCACCGCCCAAATTTCGACGGAATCGAAGGCTTTCTCATAGTCCACATACGCAAGGCAAAGTGGCAGATTATACTCCTCTGTCTTCTGTATAATCTGCCGCAGGGTATGTATGTGGTCTATGGTGCTAAAGCCCTTTCGGAAACCGGCTTGTTCGGGAGGCTGGAAGTCGTCAAGTCTGCGCGCGAGACGATTCGTAATGACTCTCTAAAACAGCACGTAGACGCGGCTCAGAAGCGAAATCGGTCTATAGTTCTTCAAGAGAGCGTTGTCACCTTTCTTGAAGAACAAGACCACCGCACTTCTGCTCCACGCCTCCGGTGTAATGTGGAGGACGGAATTAAAGAGCTTCTGAAGGACTTCAAGTACCGGTCTTCCACCCGCTTTCAGAAGCTCCGCTGTAATTCCATCCTCGCCTGGGGCCTTGCCGTTTTTAAGGTGCTGGAGAGCCATTCTAATCTCGCTCAGACTGACGTCCGGGATATCTTCGGAATAGTGTCGGATGAGACTCGCTCTTGGATCGTTACTCACACTTGCTTGTGGCTCCAACGATGACGTGTACAGCTGCCCATAGAACCTCTCAATCTCACTCAAAATCTCAGATTTCCCGGAAACGATGCTGCCACATTCGATCTTCAGCTTTGACAGTTGGCTCTTTCTGGCACACAGATCTCTGGCAAAGACTTTGGAGCCTTGAATCCGCTCGATCGCTTCTTCAATACAAGCTGTATTGAAGTTGCGTAAGTCCCGCCGCATGCATTTGGAGATCTGTCTGTTCAGTTGCCTGTATGCTGTCAAATCTGTTGAAGAATTTAGCTTCATCTCCCGTCTAACAGCCATGAGATTAAGAGTGTGATCGGAGAGTTTTTGTGTTCTTCTGCGGCGGGTCTTGCAGAACTTAGCTCCGACCGCATGGACAGTTTTCACGAGCTTGTCATTCATATCGTCCACTTCATTGCAGTCTTCTAGGCACTGAAAACGGTTTCGTAACTCGAGCTGAAAGGTTTCGGGACTTTGGAACAGAGCACGAGGGGGACGGAGCGTTGACTTCATTAGACGCGACCGCTCCAACTTAACGTTTAGGTTCAGTGTTTTTCACCCTCGCGATCACGGAGACATAACTAAACAGTTGCCGTCTGTTCGTCATAATGAATTCAATCTCATTTTTTGTCGAACCGTCGGGGCTCGACCAGGTCCACTTCCTGTGGGGCCGCTTCTGGAAGAAAGAGTTCATCATAAAGAGTCCCTCTTTCTCCATGAAGTCGGCCAGCTGCTGGCCCCTTGGGTTCCGTTGCCCTATTCCAAATTTCCCTACTTTCAGCTCACCGTTCTCTCTTGTGCCTAGTTTTGCATTGAAGTCTCCCATCAACACCGTATATTGGGTTTTGGAGGAATCTAGAGATATCCGAGGTTGGTGCGTAAACCTGTATGACCTTCAGCGAATACCGTTTGGTGATTCTGAGTATAAGGTACGCAACCCTCGTCGACACACTCCCGATCTTTACAACGTTGTTAACGAGAGACTTGTGGACGATAAATCCGACACCTCCTTGGGACAGATGGTCGCCCTCCCGGTGACAGAGTAAGTTGCCGGATTCGAGGATTACCGTATCCTCCCCCACTCTTCGGACTTCGGATAATCCTATAATATGCCAGCGCAACTTGTCTATCTCTTCTTCCAGCTTCACGATCTTCTCGTCAGTCCTCAGGGTGCGTACGTTGTACGTTGCCAGGTCGAGTCGTCTAAGGTGGCAACCGAACCTCCACCGGAGATTCTTAGCACCCCCTGCCCCGCCGTTACCATGGTCAACACCGTAGCCAGGAATAGCGGGGCCGCCGGGGACTGGGGGCCGTCTGTTTGTTGCTTTGATCATTGGGAGGTATTTGCCATAGTTGCCACGCTTGGCGAGCGGGTTGGCAACCGCAGTTTTTTTATTGTAATTTTGGCTATTATCAGGAAGATGCTGCTGCCCATTTCCTGCCTGTTTCCCTTTGTCGCCTTTTACGACACCCACGGGAGGATATGGGGTAGTGGATATTCTTGACCGCCACTACACGGCTAAAAAGGTTCTAGGCATAGTAAATTTACAGTAAAGGTGGTGCGTGTATCGTAACGACAAATCTATTTGAAATTTATATATCATTCAACTTCAATTAACGTATTAATTGGAGAAAGAATTTCCTAATTAAACAATATAACTCTTCCAAATTTATAACTACATTTTTATAATTTATCTTCTATGCCAGCAACGCACCATGTACCAGCTAGTACAACCAAATTTCGTGACCCTAGTAAAAGTACAAATTGTCAAAAAATTTGTACTTTACTAGGGTCACGAAGATCCCTATTGTCTGTCAAACAATTTGTACTTTTACTAAGAAAAATTTACTTTTGAAAATCATTTTGTAGTTTTGCTTTTAAAAATTACTATTAAAAAATGAATAAGATTTACCACACTTTTCCTCTAAGAGTTGCTTTGCAAGAACTACTTGTGATTCTGCACACCCATCTTCGGCTAGTTGATTCCGCAACCGTCGCAGGGAGCCTTGTGGTCCATCTGAAGTAAAAAAAATCTCCAAAAGTAAACAATCATTAATAAATAAAACATTGATATATAATATAGAGGGTTATTTTTCAAAGAGTATTCAAATTTTATATTAAATAAGACATCTAATTTTATTTGAAATTATCCCAAATTAAACATGAGTTATGGGCAACAACTACGCGTATGCGCACTCCTGTGTGTGCGATTCAATTCACAACGTTTTTGGCGACCGAGCGACTCTTGCGAATGAGTGGGTGCGCAGTAAAATAGTAGGCGTTAGATATTTATGAATGACAATCAGTTAAAATAATGCATTACCATGCATTCTGAATTTAAAACATAAAAACGACAGAATGTTTAAGATTTTTTTTAAGTTTTCTTCACCATTCGCCTATATTACTTATTCTGAACCTTCTTGTAAATTTGGATGTATATTGCAAAAAATGTACAGTACATATTATACAGGTACTGTCTATCACCAATCTACATGAATTTTCCTCTTACTCGTACCCTGCACTTGTAAATTTATTTTTGAAATTTTAAAAATATTTATTGACTTTGACCATTGTATTTTTTATTATAAGTTGTAATTATTAAAAAGGAAATTGTAACACGAATTTTAAAAAAAAACCCAGTTTTTTCTCCAAGGTCTTTTTGCAAAGCGGTGTAGATAACTTTGAATTAAAATGAACTTTGAAAGGAAATAAAATAAAAATGTGACAGACTGTTTAATAATAACAACTTAGTACAAAATAGAGAGCACAAGAAGAGGCAAATGTCCCAAAATAATATTAAGGATGATAAAAATTTTAGTTCGTTTAGAAGTTGTAATATGATGTAATGCAAGGAACCCCTATAATTTTGTTCTGTTTGTCTGATAATGTATCCCACCATAATAATGTCTAGTTTTTTTTTTAACAAATTCAATAAAAATCTAAGTGTATATTACATGTATAGATATATAATTATTTTACCTACAAGAAAGAGTCCCTTATAGAGCTACCATTATAACTGCCTCTATACAGTGAAAATACATTTTATATATTATATTGTGGTGGTCATATAATTAGAAACACTTCTTATGAAAGAAAGTATACTTCAACATACAAATGTTCATACAAAATATACACATTCAATAATTAATAATCATGCAATAATATAGTCACTCAAATAAAAAACTCATTGAATGCATAAAATATAAAACATATCTTACTTTTAATTACAAAATGAGTCTTACACATGTAGGAGTTTATTTTCTGTTACTGGCTGCTTGGACGCCTCATTAGAAACATTTGAAAAAGGCATCCATAGCTCTTTCTTTTTTCGAAATTGGAGAATAACATTTATTTCTTGGCTTTTTCAATTATTTTGGCGGCAATTCAAAATTTAATCAGAATTTTATTTTGTTCAAAATGAGCAAAAATCAGCTAGGAAAATAAGTACTAATTTACACATAGATCATAAGTGGGCGTATAGAAGAATAGGTGCGCATTTAAATTGTTCTGTTAAGAAAGATTTTAATGCAATTGATCATTATAAAACACATGGAACAGTTGAAAATGTTCTTAGAAAGGCTCGGCCAAGAAAAACCTCTCCCAGAGAAGATACGCTAATTGTTAGTGTTGCTAAAAGAGACCAAAGTAAAGGCTCCAACCAGATTAAAAATGAAGTTTTTTCGCCTGATGACCCGACAAAAATCTCGTCAAGACGAGACTCAAAAATACGCCAAAGATTAGTAAAAGCTAAATTGTTTGAAAGAATCCCTCGAAAGGTACCACTTCTTATCAAGCAACACCGAGAGAAGTGATTATTATTCGCTAAAAAATATGTTAATTGGACGGTACAAGAATGGAAAAGTGTTATTTTAAGATGAAACAAAAATAAATATGGTAAATTCCGATAGAACGTGCTATGTTAGATGTCCTGTAAACAATGCTTTCAATCATAAATACACAAGGGATATAGGCAAGCACGGTGGCGGTAACATTAAAGTTTGGGGGTGTTTTTCCGGATCTGGTGTTGGACCCGTTCGGAAGATTGAAGGTACAATGGATCAATGGCAACACAAAAATATCTCTTTTCTATATGGAAATATGCAGACTCGTACCAGGTGTAGTCAGGGTCAATCAATTCTTGACATAAGGTTTTTTTACATAAGTTGAATCTAACCTATTTTATTTATCTGTCCTAATAGGTACTGTTAAATAAAACAAATTTCAATAAGAGCTCATTTATTATGGTATCTTTCTTGTTTTTCATAAAATGGATTTCTATTTACATTATAAATGCAAACATGAAAAAATATAAATATTTTAGAAATCTATTTTTGTGAATCGATACATCAGCTTACGATTCAAATAGATCTAAAAATCTATTTTTTCAGAAAAAATCTATTGACGATGACAATGACAATACAAAATCGCGTCAGTTTTACGGTAGGAATTGACATAAATATTGCAAAAATAATTGATTTTCAGTAATTTTTTTCTAAAAAAGTACGCATTTCCACATGTTGAAACTTTGCGTGTGTGCTTATAATAATGTAACCTTTCTGTAAAAAATCAACCCCCAACTCGATGGACGTCAATGGAAAGTCATACCAACTTTGGTAATAATGGGTCCTCGGAGAGTCTGCATTTTGTAATAAGCACACATTTTGATTCTGGTATTAATGTTAATACTGTAACAAATCTGGATCTTTGTCCTGGTTTAAACCAGTACTGAAACATTTTTTTGGAATAAGAACAACTGAGTTTCATTACTTAAATAGGATTTTGGTCCACTGGTACATAGGCGGCACTAAAAGTATCGGGAATGGAATATTTCCACTGTTCCTGTCAAATTAAAATCTTTTTAATTGAAATGTCCTTCGTTTTTTAAAATTGAATAATACCATTTATTTATTTAAAAAAAGATTCTCGGTCTTGTCACAAGGTTTTGTCAAACTTGTTTAGTCGTTGAGAAAATGGAATTGACTCGTGAAAATTCAAGAGCGATGATTTATTATGACTTTTGAAGTGGTTTAACACTAAACCAGTGTGTTGACCGAATGATTTCTGCATTTGGTGAAAAAGCCCCATCCAAAACCACAATTTATCGCTGGTTTGCTGAATTTCAACGTGGATGTGTCAAGCTCAGTGATGATCCCCGTCAAGGTCGTTCAAAAACTGCAGTCACCCAAGAAAACGTTGATGCTGTGCGTAAGCTGATTGAGGAAGAGCGACATGTGACATACCGCGAAATTCAGGCAACTTTAGACATTGGCATGAGTCAAATACAAATAATCTTGCATGAACAATTAGCTGTAAAAAAGTTGGGTACGACTTTCCATTGACTTCAGTGGAGTTTGGTGTTGATACGTATTTTTACAGAAAGATTACACTATTATAAGCACACACACAAAGTCTCAATATACGGAAACGCGTAATTTTTGAGAAAAGAATAATTGAAAATCAATTATTCTTGCAATGTTTATGTCTAATCTGCCTGCTAATAAACTGGCGCCATTTTGTAATGTCATTGTCGACATCAATAGGGATGTCGATTCTTTCCGAAAAAGATCGATTTTTTAAATAGATTCGAATTGTAAGCTGATGTATCGATTCCCAAAAAATCGATTTCTAAAATATCGATATTTTTTTCATGTTTGCTTTTATAATGTAAATATAAATCCATTTTATGAGAAAAAAATCCCCTTCATCATAAAAAAATAAGGGGACTGATTCATAAGGATTTCTGTATCTATTATGAGACTGCTACGTCTCCGGCGCTGCGGGAAGAGCAACCTCTACGCCTTAGCGTAACAAATCGCAGGCATCGGACGAGCTGGAGCGGCTGAGGCTGGTCGCCGAAGGCGACCAACAAGCCGAAGCTGCGGAGGCGAGGACGTTTACGTTTTACGACGTTTACGACGTTGACGTTTTGACGTTACAGCAGGCGGAGGCTGCTCCCCCTACGCGCCTCTGGCTCTATAAAACCACTCTAGGGGTAGGACAGACTCGTACCAGGTGGAGTCGGGATCAATCAATTCGGTTCTTTGACATAAGTTGAACCTAACCTATTTTATTTGTTATCTGCCCTAATAGGTACTGTTAAATAAAACAAATTTCAATAAGAGATCATTTATCATGGTATCTTTCTTGTTTTTCATAAAATGGGTTTATATTTACATTATAAATAGAAACATTAAAAAAATATAGATATTTTAGAAATCGATTTTTTGTGAACCGATACATCAGCTTACGATTTGAATCGATCGGAAAGAATCGACATCCCTATTGACGTCGACAATGACATTACCAAATGGCGCCAGTTTATTAGCAGATTAGACATAAACATTGCAAGAATAATTGATTTTCAATTATTCTTTTCTCAAAAATTACGCGTTTCCGTATATTGAGACTTTGTGTGTGTGCTTATAATAGTGTAATCTTTCTGTAAAAATATGTATCAACACCAAACTCCACTGACGTCAAAGGAAAGCTAAGCCAAAACTTGTTTTCCCGATGGATACCGCATTCGCTCTGTGAAGAGCAAAAAGCGGCTCACGTTACTTGGTGTGTCAGAACTCTCGAAAGATTCCACGCAGGATCCTCAAATGTTGTATACAACATCGTATCAGGTGACGAATCCTGGATATACGCGTACGAACCCGAAACAAAAAACCAGTCACGAGTTTGGGTGTTCAAAAATGAGTTAAAGCCAACAAAAATTGTTCGTTCATGGTGTGTTGCAAAAAAAATGGTGGCCACGTTTGTCTCCAAAACCGGCCATGTTACGACTATTCCTTTTGAGGGACAAAGAACGGTTAATGCAGAATGGCATGCTAGCATTTGTTTGCCACAGGTCGTTTCTGAACTCTGTAAAGAGAACTGCAACCGCCGCATCATCCTCCATCACGACAATGCGAGTTCTCACACCGCACACAGAACAAAAGAGTTTTTAGAGCAAGAAAACATAGAATTATTAGACCATCTGCCGTACAGCCCCGACCTAAGCCCTAATGATTTCTATACTTTCCCTAAAATAAAGAATAAATTGCGTGGACAGAGATTTTCATCACCTGAAGAAGCTGTGTACTCCTACAAAATGTACCATTTTGAAGACCCCAACTTCCGAATGGAACGGTTGCTTCAATGATTGGTTCCATTGTATGGAAAAATGTGTCAAATTTCACAGAGAATACTTCAAAAAGCAATAAATACATTTTTAAATAGTAATGTTGAGTCACTTCCTTGATTCCCGAAATTTTTAGTGCCGCCCTCGTATACAAAGACTCTAATGGCAGAAATTTGAATTAACAGTTTGTGATCCACAAATTTTAAAGCTTTACTAATACTGAAAAAACACTTTATTTTCCTTTTTGTTGGACACTATGAATTAGCTTAGTTGGGTTCAGAATTTTTTATTTGGATGGATATATACCATATTTAAAGGATAGGTTAATCATATAAGAAAGACCTGGCGATATCAAATCAGAACACTGCTTTAAAATTTTGTGGAAATTCCACCATAACCCACTGAATATAACTTATTTTTTGTTGTTTTTCTACGAAGTTTGGTTGCAAAAATATACTACTATTTATTGAAAATTTTACGGCATAAGTTTAATATGAAATCATTATAATTAGCTACCTAAGTATTTCTTGTTTAGAATAACAGATGTGTAATACGTACAGATTACTTACCATGAAGATTCCACCGTTTTCTTCCAACAGGCATTATCTTTACAAATTAAGTGCACTTAATAAAAGTTAATTGAAATACGGTAACTAAGTAGGCATTAAATAGTTATAAACAATTTTTTTTAAATACTATCAACAAGAACAAAAATATAATTTCACTTGAACAATAACCATTTTCATATTATGATTTTTTATTTTGACAATTTCATTCAAACACCAACACAAACACATTCATTTACGACTCTACGACAAAGAGTACATATTATAATTTAGATGATAGATGTAGATCGACCATCTACGACAAAGAGGTAATAGGTAATAATATATTATAACATAATAGGTATATAATATTACATCACTACATTTGATTCACAAACTAATAAGAAGTACTAGTGCAGTATGATTAAACTTTCAGGTATATAAAAAAATAGTATCCCATTTCAAATTACTATTTATAAAAAATATTATTTGAATCTGCGGGCCAAACTTGGGGGTAAAACCAAGGAATTAAATAATGGCCTATTTTTTAATAATACAATAAAAACTACGGGGGATCAAACATAAAGATGTAAAAATAGAACTAAAAGAAGGAATATAGGTACTCACAATACGTATAATAACTACGCTAGTACCTACTATATATTAGCACAGTTTAAATCCCCTTGAGTTACATAGTTACATATGTTCTGTGTTTTAATAACCTTACAGTTGGGAAACGAATGTACATGTATAGAGCAACGGTGGAGACCTTGCGGAGCAGGGGCGGGCCGACCTTTTGCTAACGCACTTCACTCAGTCTGCTAAAATACAATACATACAGTTGGCACGAGCGTGTTTTATAGTACTTATTTAAATAAATTTTAGTGCCATTTTTGAAAAATATAATATCTATAATGGTTAATTACTGTTATATGAGTTACTAAGTAATATTAAATTAAAATGAGGGCCATGCTTATGTTTCCCTCGTTTTTTTTTTGATAAAATTGTTTATCCGATTGTTAATACAATACATAATTAAATTTAACAATTGAAAACTGAAAACATCTATAAAAATAAAGTTTCATGCAAATATTTGGCAGTGCAACATTTGGAAATGTGTCTTTCTTGTTGTAGTAATAAAAATGATGTTTTTTTAATGTTACCTCCACACTAGGATTTCCTCCTGTATCGCGGGGCAATTTACATACACATATTTCACAAGGACAAACATGCTGACCCAGAACAATTATTTGTAGGCCATACAAATATTTGTATCGCGCGGGATTCGAACCCGCGGTTCTTAGCGCTGCAACTCACTTCTAAGCCACTGCGTCAAGCAGCCGTCAAATTCGTTCAATAAATGTTTTAAACTTATAAGTATGAACATAATGTTAATAAATGATAATGTGAGTATAATAATAATATCCAACATTATTTTATTTCCATTTTCGTGACAACCCCTAGTATACACGCTGGCTGCGTAAATACTGTCTAAACTGTGGTATTAGTTTGTGATGATAATTAATAACTGTCTTCGTCCTCTCTCTTAATCTCTACTTAGCCTGTGGCAAAGCTATACACCATAGACTTAGAATATGCCACATGAGATATATAATATATAATACACTTTTGATCTATATCTTTGATTTTAATAAACATATCAAGGATCTGTATCTTTTGTAAAGATCAAATTAATATACGAGAGAATAAAATAAATAAACAGTATTTGAGTTTTGATACCACCCGCTAGTACTTCTTATTAGTTTATGATTACACCTCATTAAATAATATAATAAACAACAAACAAATCAATCATAATGGTTGGCGTTATAATCGATTAAATACACATTTCTCAAAATCTTATTGACATTAAATGTAAAGGAACAATACTGTAGCTTTGCGGATTATAAATTCTATCTATCTCCATGCAGGATGTTGTTATTCATTTCACTGCACAAAGCTACTGCGTCAAGGAAATATATATTTTTAGAATTCAGCAACGTGTGTGGGGTAATTTTAAAATAACATCCCAAAACAGGGGTTCCCAAAGTATGCACCGCACCACCCTGGTGCGCCGTAGAGAGTAAAGAGAGGCACCGTGATACGCTCCTGTTTACCATTCTCTGGAAACTAAATTACTTAGATATTTGCGGGTACAAAATAAACCGGACTTTGAGCTGTAGCTGTAATAAAAATCTAATATCGCTCAACGATCAATGTGGAGTAAGAAATGAGAGTAGAGGTGTCAAGCCTTATCATATGCTTTGAAAAAATGCGTGGAGATCATTTACTTATATATTACTAGCGTAAGGACTAGGCTGCTCGCACAACTAAATTGCACCAGTACGCTGGCCTTAAAATGACAGTTTAGGACCAACGTGACTCAGTCGACAGTTGGTCGACAGCAGTCTGCGCGTAGGAGAGATTGAGTATTCGCTTATCATAAATAAGTCTATTACGTGGTAAAAGGCTGCAAAAATTAGAAGTTTAAAAAGAAACACGGGATATCGTATCACCTGTAAGTAACCTTAAATTCATTTTGACGCAATTAAATTATTTTATAAGCACATTTTTAAAGATTAATTTTACTACCGAAGTCCGCAATGGCGGCTATTGTGTGGCCGATTACGTTACCAAGGTTATGTAACTGGCCACACAATGGCTGAATTCAGACCTTCAAAAATATTGTACATGGAAAATAAAATTATACCATTTGTCCTAAATTATATCACGTTTGATGTTTCATGCTTTATTTTCCCACACACCGGGGTTTTGGCGTCACACTTCTAGCGTATTTATACGTTTCGTTTTTCGGCTTTTTAGGTTTGAATTGAAATAAAATTGAATAACGATATCAATTTCAAAAATTGCGAAATTCAAAAATTGCAAAATCCAACCCTGGTTACGTAGTCGACCAATGCAACGCGGCACTAATTTAGTTTGTATGAGTTATGACAGATGGCGCTACTTTTGCTAAATTTTCAGATGGGTGTATCCTTCCTTTAGAAAACACTGGTGAAGTATACCACGCTCAACGTCACATTGATAAAGTTGCCATTCTATTTTATATACTATTTTCCTTAAATAATGAATGTATTATTGCATTTCAATATAAAGATAAAAAATTAGCTTCATATTGTGAATGTTTTAATTTTTGTGCCTATCTACCTAGTATTATTGTATCCTATTTTGACTAGCTAGGGCGTACGGCATGAACTGAAAAAGTTTGAGAATCCCTGTCCCAAAGTAAATACCTTTGGCTTAAATAACTTTATGATAATATTATTGTCTCTTTCTGATGTTGCTCATGAAGATATATTTGCCATATGTACCATGTTCACGCGGGTTGGCAACTGTTATTGTCTGTGGGATAAAAAGGTTCTGAAGTGGCAGTTTCGTATCGGTAAACAAACTATAAGGCGCTTTCAAAAGTCAATGGATATAGGTGGCTCAAGACCTTGCTTTGTCGTATCACCCTACTTATTGGTTTCTAGGCTTACTGTATTGTTCGATGGACGATCGATGATATTTTAGAGTGATTTTAAGTAAAATAAAAAGTTTAATACGTTATATACTAGGCTGATCAATAAGTTTTCAGAATAGGACTGAATTTTTTTATTATATCTTAATTACAGTAAACTTCTTTGGCAGACAACGCTCCGTCTTATTCTACAGTGGCATACTGGTGCACTAAATTTAAATGCGGCAAAACCGCCTGCAATGACGGCACTCGCTCCGGGCGGCAAACAATGGCCGCTACGCAATAAAAAATAATCGAAGAAATTGTTAAGGTAGATCGACGCGTGACCATCCGTTATTTAGCTGAGATTTCGCTTGGGACATACTTTATAATTCAAAAGGTGGCCGCACGCTGGGTTCCTTAAATGTGCCCGCCAGCCAAGACATTCATTGTCTGTGTCCAATAGAAAAATAATGACCTGTTTTCTGTGATGTGGAATGTATAATAATGATTGACTATTTAAAAACAGAGAGACCAAAATCGCATATTATTACGCATTATTAATCAAAAAACTAAAGAATAAACATCGAGGAGAATTGCGTGCTGGAGTGCTTTTTCATCATGATAATGATCTGATACTTGCACTTGTAGGTATAAAATTCGACGGCGACAATGAGGTGATGTGTGCTCCAGAGACGTTTTTCGAGTCCCAGGACCAAGCTTTTTTTTTTCAAGGGAATTAACCAACTTGCAAAACGCTATTCAAGACGTATTAGCTAATAAGACGACTACGTTGAAAAACAAATACAATTTAAATATAATTATCCTAGAGTTTCATTGAGTTTCCAAAAATTTATTGATCAACCTATTAAATTAATATCAGAGGCATCTGAGGTACATACGGGTATTATGTGATAACTACTCAGATCAACATAACATTATACATTATAGACGTGATATACACGGAATGCTGCCAAGTACCAACCTGAAGCTAATTTGTTATATGTGTGAGTGAATTCAGAGCATAAAACGTATGTAATACATGTGGTAAAATGATTTTTTTTTTACAACCGACATCATTATCAATAAAATGGGGACATTATCAATGTAGACTAATCAATCAAATACGCATTAATTATTAAGGTTAACTCAAAAACTATTGGTCAAAAAAAGGATCATCAAAATCAGTTCAGCTAGAAAAAAGTTCTAAGGTAATACACAAAAAATAGAGTCGAATAGGGAACCTTCTTCTTTTTTTGAAGTAGGTTGAAAATTTCCCTATAATTAACCTTAGATTATTAACTCTATAGATAACGCGTTACGCAATGAGCGATGCAACAAAAACAGACCAGTTTTTACAAGCGTGTTTGCGTGAGGCACGCACACACGGTAGCGGTTGCTATGGTGACAGAATAAATAACTATGACATACACCAGTGTCATTTGTATTTGGGAGATACCAGTTAATGAATCTATCCCGATAATACGGGGAAAAACTGTAAAATTTTCATGTTAATAAAATCATAAATTATAATATTTTAATATGACGCTTTCAATTGTGTTTAGTTGTCTGTTGAGTTAGAATCTATTTTTTTTTTGTAAAGAAATATATAATCAAATTAAAATCAATTACGCATTTACAAAATATGTTTTATTATTTAATGTATGATATTGACTTATAAAAATACTAGCGATTGGCTGGCAGTTTCGTCTGCGTCATAGTTAAATAATTTATCCCGCAGGTACCCTTTACCGTAAAATTT